CTGTCAATACACTAAATGATTTGTCAACAAACTCAATTCATCACGCATGTATTTCAGAGCTTACATTGTGCTTTACTAGCGGGGCTACTAAAGCAAAGCCCATGGTCAGAAACCGAGTAAGCAACCTCAGCTGTTCACAACAGCTTTATTTCATCAGCCTGGAGAGGAGAAAAGCAGGCCATACCTGCAACTGCAGCTCTGTCCACAACAGCCCCATCAAGTCTATCCAACATGGAACTTTTCCATTTTCAATAACAGTGTTTCAAAGCAGACATTACTTTATCAGACATCATGGGGGTCAGCACAGCCTGTGTTCCGAGAAACTTATGACAGAAAGCCTTTGTTACAAACGGGGAAGTAGGAGTTTGAAAGACACGGGAGAAAAGATGCTATTAGTTGCATTATGGGAAATGTAGAATCCACACATTTGGTGCTAAAAGTCAGGATATCTCAGCCTCTGCTGCTTCCATTTTGACCGTTAAAAAAAACAGCTGTCCACAAACTTGACAGAAATGCAAAATTAAATTTCACATGTTCAGTATTTTAGCATAATACATAGCTAATAGCAGATTTTTGCTATTACATGCTTGTGAAAGTTCAAAGGTAAAGAATTTGAAGGTAAATATTTTAAAAGAACTGATAAATTAAGAAAGGTTTCCGTTTCAGTTTGTGAATTTATTGCAAGGTCATGAAAGGGCATGGCGATGAATCCCCCAAGGTGACGATAAAGAGTTATAAAAACGCACTGCTTCATCTTGAACTCCACCCTGTGTCTCTCTCTAGCTTTGGGTGGAGGATCCCCCAATGCTCTGTGTCAACCCCTCACCCCCCAAGGTCCATTAAAGGCTGCATTGTTTCCCAGGGGTCAACCTGGGTTTCATTCCAAACTTTAACGCAAACCAGGAAATGCAAGTCAAGCATTTTAAGCCCCTGTCAGTGCCGAAGACAAACAGCGCTCTTGTTTTCCACTGCTCCCAATATCTCCCAGCCAATGTAACCCAGCTGACTGAGTGAGATGTGCATCACTTGTCATATGCAACTATAAGGAATAGTCTTTTCATCTCACACAGTGGGAAAAGAGGTTGTATATACAAGAGCAGAAGGATGTTTTCAATATGAACTCAGATAATTCTGTCCCAAAAAACCCTTAAACAGGATGCTGCTGCTGCTTGACTTCTTTCTATGGGAAAGTGCCAGTTTAAATAGTGCCCAGGTTTCACCATCTCTTTGGCCCTCTGTGAGCTGCATCAAGCTGAGAACAGAGATGTATCGCAGCCAAATCTCCCCATTGTCCACACCCAGTGTATACAAAGGCTGATGTATGGTGTAAAGCAGCCTTTTGAGTGGCTGAAAGAGCAACAAGGCCTGCTGTTGAAGGGGTTTTCTCTTTAGGTTTTGTCTTGGGCTTTCCATCACAATCGTGCCCAGCTGAGACAGGGAGCGGGGGTTGGAGGAATCTGCTGTACTTTTCCGCTGCTGGCACCCTCCCTCCCCTCCCTCTCTCTCCCTGCCTCTCTCTGTCCCTGCCTCTCTCTCCCTGCCTTTCTTCTTCCCCTTTTCTCCTCCTCATATCTCTTCTTCTCCTCTGAAACTTATCTCTCCTACCTGGGGGTTAAAGAGGGAAGCATTCTGCCTAAAGACTATGGCCGGTATGTACGTGGACACACATCTAACACATTCACAGGAGTTAAAGGCATCTGAAGACCCTCCATGACTCAGATCCAGCATTCCTGGCAGCCCACACTGTGATGCTAATCTTTAAAGTAACGTGTATGCAGTTGCAGATTGGGCTCATCCACGAGACAATGGTGACCTGTTGATAATGCTGTCTTGATAATATACACCCAGGCTTAGAGGCTAAATCATTAGCATTGAGTAATACCACACCAAAGATAGGTTACATATTAATGGTATGCTAATGCAAGCCACATGTGATGCTACTTTGTAAAATAATGTGGGAAAAGGCCTCAACTATAGGAGTCTGGCTCACTGTCTCAGCTTTGCTTGCATCTCATTTAAATGTTTGTTTGTTTTATTCCAACTAAGAGTCTTATTAAATTAATTTATTTTATTGGTAACCATTTAATATTACATCCCATATTATTAATAGGGCCAGCAGCTATCTCTTGAAGATTTATGATGCTAAAGTCATTACAACCAATTTCTTTTTAAAGAAATATATACTTACTTACATACATACATGTTTGTCTATAAAAGACCATTTTTTCATTGAACAAAAGAAGCCAAAGTTCTCAAATGTTGTTCAATAAAATAGTCTAAAACTGACATATGTTTTCTTTAAAATCAATAAAAGTCAAAAATCAGTAAGTAAAAAAGAATGCATCTGACCAGACACTTAATACTATTTGGGTATTTATTTATCATTAAGGTTCAATACTCAGGTCATATTATTAAGCTGACCTGCTATTTTTGTTGGCTTTTCACCAAAATATTACTATTTTTCACAAGATCTTTGATCGTTTTCACTACAGCAAAATGGCTACCAGTGCAACCGAAAACAGCTGAAACTGTAGTTTCAAGTTGTTTTATGACTGAAGTCGGTTCATTTACATCCGTGAGTTGATAAACATTGCACTGGATTTAGTCATTTGTGTGCTACTGAATATGTTTCTGTTATTTGATATAAATTTGAAAAATAAAGTGAATGGGGTTTGGTGTGTTGAAGCAGATAAACAACAATAAAAAGGTAGAACATGTTTAATAACACTTGTTCACCTCAAATGTTGATGTCCTTCTAATTAAGTTAATTTTATTTATTTTGTGCCATTAATTTTTTGTTTACACTAAGATAAAGGAAGAGGAAATGAGGCCTGTTAGATGCCACTGTGGAATTCTGCGCCCTGTTCCTTCTTTCCCTGCTTTTTCAGAACATGAAACCTCTACTTAAAAAGACATCAGAAACTGGTTTGGGCCCTGAGCTCGTTCTTAAAGTGGGACCAGGCTGATATGAGCCATGTGGTGAGTTTTACAACCCAGGCTTTGTGATACACACTCATATAAAAAGGTGCTGTTAATGAATGTTGAGTCTTTCCTTTATTAACGGGAGGGGGGACTTCTCAGAGACCACAGAGCCAGCAGCATCAGCTCCCACGGATATATCCCATGCAGGGGAGGACCAATACACAAAATAAATGTCCACCATTAAACAATGTGGAGCACATCTTGTTATCACAAAATTAAGCAAGGACTACATTTGCAAAGCATCTGATAAGTTCAGACCTGAGTGAGTGAGTGTATGTGCTGTGTGTGTGTGTGTGGGGGGGGGGGGGCAAGCCAGTTGACATAACACACCCATGGAAGACAAAAATCTGCAACATGATGGACTTGATGTCTGCTTTGACAAGGCCGGAGCCAGGGAGATGGATACGTTTCAGTGAAATTAGGAAAAGGCAGTGTGAGTGGTTGGAATGAGCGGCCTCTGTCATTGGCTATTTATAGGCCAGCATTACAGAGTCACAGGAGTCCCTGACCTCCCCCCACTGTTACTATTGATCTTCACACAGCTTCTGTCCCCTGCATCTACATCCACATAAACAACCTCTCACCCTCTCTTTCTCTCTCTGTTTACCTCTCCTGCCCTTTCCTCAGAATTCACACATTCTTACCAAAATATGGAACAATATCAAAACCGAAGGGCTTCCTGCTGAGTGATGTAGTAACAGTAGAAGTGTGGAGTTAACCCTCCATAAGCTGGAGAACAGGCAACATGGCTGCTGGCTGGGGGATTAACATGAGGGGGGAGGGGGACAAATACAGTAAAATGGTTCCTCCACATGCTATACCAAAGTCCTTGAAGGAAATTATGAAATGAAAGATGTGCTACCAGAAATTCCTTAATTGTCTTTAAACTCCCAGAGCGCCGGTTTTGTGTCAAGGATTAGCAAGTTACGGCAAAAATGATTGGAGTGAACTGTACGATCAATAAACATAGCAAGACAAAGCTCTTATCAAAGGATGTGCGCGAGTGATGAGCAGTCCAGAACACTTTGCTTTGCCATGTGGACTATATATCTTAAGAGTGAGAAAGGATCGCATTCCAAATTCCTGCAATACAAGGGGAGGGAGGGGACGGGGGTGGGATGTTTGGTGGGCAAGTGGGCGGTTGCTCTTGGTGGGAAGTAGTGTGAAAACTGCCAAAAGAAGGATTTTACTCTTGCATTTAAAGATAATTCACATAAAGAGCCAAATGAAGTAACAAAAGAGCGTCGAGCTGAAAGCAGCTCGGGGAGAGCTTCATCAACAAAGTTCAAGGAAAGATCACCCACTTAGCAGTTGCACGAAGCTTTGTGAGCAACTACAGCGTGATTCAAAACAACATAGGAGTTAAAAAACAGGGCTAAGAAGGGGGTGGGAATGCACCATATGTGAAAGTGCTCTCAGTTTTGGGCTAGTGGTGAGCAGCCAGTAGGGTGATCCTCATCATAGCAACAGTGCTGACTGTGTACAAGCCACATACTAAAGATCAATACATATGGAAGCGCACTGTTCAGCTCACCACCGCACCGAGATATGTCATAACACACACATAAACAAAGCACTTGAAGACATTGACAGCAGGGAACGCTGCTAGACTGGGATATCTCTGCTCATTAGCCTGGCCTGAGAATCATTAACAGCTCTCAGCGTGCAGGGCTATCAAATGTAGCACAATCTAAAAGCAGTGTCCACTCAAACTGCAAAGAGGATCTTTAAAGCAGCTTATATCAAAAAGTAATTGGGCTTTTTACAAAAAGGTTTTCATTCATTAATTGTCTAAGCAATATAATGAGTTGTTTCTCAAATAACCTAATGAAGAAATTGAATGGATATGTCCGGATAAGCAACATACCACTCTAGCAGATATAAAAAGACAGTTAAAAAAAGGTATAAAAAGAAAATATGAAGTCACCAAACTGCAGTTATAATACATAATCACTTAATCACAAAAAGCTCTCCTCTCCCATTCACACATAATTATGGTGAGTTTTAGCCTCCCTTACCTTCCCATGTATCCATTTCATGCTTCTCCCAGTCTGCCTGGACCCCATTCACGCTGGACTCAGCTAAAGAAAAGCCGCTGGGCCCGGTCGCCTCATGACTCCCTTTTCTTTCTTTGCCTCTCTCTCTGTTCTCTCTCCCAGCAACCTCTTTCCTCGACAGCCTGCCCCTCTCTGACCGCAGGCAGAGCCGAGCAACACCACTGGTCATTTTACTGCCTGGTCACATGACCGCAGAGTTCAAGCCCCGGGGTCACGGCTTGGCTTGAGGTCCAATGACAGCTAGGGGTTATCTGAGTGGAACTGATAGTCCTATTTTCGCTGCCGTTCAACAATACTTCTCCCCACCACCCCCTTCCCAGCCCTCAACCAAATTAGCCTCCCCTCCCCTCAACCATGCCTCTGGCACTTCTGAGGGGGACCAAAGTGCATGTCCAAGCATAAACACAGATTCAAGCTGACAAAACACACAGACATTAACTAATTGAAGCACTTAGTGCGACAGGGAAGAAGGTTAAAGCTAAAGTTTCACAACTGAGGGCCAAAAAGATGGAGACTGAGAGAAGTGCTAAGGTGGGGAACCAGTTTCAGTTCAAATCATCCTTCATATGGGACTAATGCTGTATTCAAATTCAAAGTAGGAAGTCAGGTATTCCCAGCTGCTATGCATTTCAGCAGTCCAACATGGAAACCTACAAGTTTCATTCCCCCAAAATAAAATACTGTCCTTCTAATGTCTTGTTTTGTCCACAACCTAAAGATATTTGGTCATAGAGGACCAAAGAAACCAGAAAATATTCACATTAGAGAAGCTTTTCCGCAAAAAACATTGATTATCCAAATAGTTGCCCATTACCTTAATAGTTGACAAGTTATTGACTAATTCTTGCAGCTCTGGTATAGATTTGGTGTATCTAACGTTTATAACAATGCCGAAATAATCTGATGATCAGTCATTTATGGGTAAACTGAAAATTAACCTGGAATCTTGGTGGTCCAGGGGTCTACATGGCATAGCATATTACTGCAACATCGCTGGTTCCATTCTGGCCAGGACTTTCATTGCATTGCTGCCCTTCTACCCCCATGTTTTTGTACTATAAATTATTTAATAAAGTCTACAGGAAAAACAATTCAAAGAAACTTGCTTTGATAAGACAAAACAAGGAATTCTGAGTGAAGGATGAACCTCTGAATTATTATTATTAAAAAAAGGGCTAAACCCCTATACTTTGTTAGCACTGACTGAAATGTGTCTGTGGCACAAAGTATCAAAAACTGTAAAGTACCAAACGCTAGTGTCACATGTCTGGTTAGAGTCGTAATTGTTTTAATAAGATAGTTCCGGACTTCAATCAAAATGTTGCCTATTTAGACAATGTTCTTGTGTGGCTGCAGCTATGCAAGATATTTTGAGAGCTTTGGCTTCTTTTGGTTCTGTTGTCATCTTGTTTATTTTGTCCAAAGTAAGCTTACTAGTAAGGTTAATGCACTGAAATCATCATATTGTATTGGAAAAAAAGACATACAAAGAACACCCAGCACTTTTAAACACATGGTTCTAAAAATCCTTTCCCTGTTTCCTGCTTGCACCTTTGACTTGACTGGCCATTCAACTGACCTTGTAGGAAACTTGAAACATGATTCAGCCTTAAACCGGAGAGCCTAAGAGATATCTTACCATCCAGTGTGTTCTCTTCCTTCATCCCCTCCAGTGGCCTGGCTAGGGGACCATAGTGAGAAGCATCCAGTGTTTCACTAGTGTGCCACACCCTAAACTCAACTGCCCAACCTGATGCTCTGTGTACCTAGCGGCCTCTTCTCTACCTGATCCGCACCTCACACACTACAGTAGACAAGCCCGTCCTGATCACACAGCCCGTCTCCAAGCCCACCCTCTTCAAAGCTCCACCCTATTAATACCACTTGTTCACTCTCACAGCAGCGGCACTCCACCCCACCACCCCCCGGGGGCCCAACCCCCAATGTGAATGCTAATGACCCAGTCGCAGTAAGTCACATATAAGAAGCTTTTCGCATTCAAATGCAACACCGAGAGATAGCTCATGGGAATGCATACAGAGGCAGGGAGAAGACTGAGACGTGTCGCTGGGCTCGGGAGGATTCATAAAGACGGCAGTAAAGCTGTCACGCCGGGCAAGTTGGTAAGCAGGTAGAAATATGAAGACACGAGTAACCTGTTTGTGTGATCAAAGGCAGTTTACTTTACAGTAATACTATAAGAGTCTGCTACCATATGTCAGTGTGTCAAAGGCAGGGCTTATAGGAAGGACCTGACCAAGGTGTTGTAATTTGATATATGTTTACATGAAGATTTGAGCATTAATATTCTTCACAGTTCACCATGAGTTAATGACCAGGGAATGTGGGAGAATAAACCGACCTAAACCTACTTTATATATGCAGATATTCAAAGAAGTTCTTCAAGCAGTTCTTATAGCTTAACCAGATATGTATTTGCCATTACATTCCCCATACCGACAGATTCAGAAGAAGGCATATTTTCAGTCCAGCTGGCATAACCTTGCTTGTCAATACTAATAGGAAATCCACCTGAGCTGAGAGGGGTGCGTGCCATATGTCACCCTTGACCTTAGCAGCTTTCCTTCCATGCAGCAAAGATGAATGGCATAATCAGCCATGTTGCCTTTAACCTTGAAGTCAATTAGAGCCAGCGCAGACACTTTGCATATCATCTGCTGCTGTGTGGTGAGAGGGGCTACCTGAGACTGGGGACCACTCTCAGGACATGTAGGGTATAGTGCTGGTACACCCATCTGACACTTCCAATGCTACGATGCTAATAGCGCTTCTTCTACTGTATAATTATTCTGCTGTTTTGTTGCACATTTGATGCAGATTTCCTTTTCTTCAGGTGTTCCCTTGATTTGTGCCTATTTGGGGAGCCTGTATTAGCAGCAGATTTAAAGATAAAATGTAAGTAAAATAAATTGCATTTAGAGTATTAATCACAATGATTAATATGAAACTAACTTTAGAAAGCTGCTTCAGACACCTTCAAAGACCTGAAATGCAATTTAGGGCCAACTGTAAGAGCCAACCATCAACCACTATGTCCTATGTTAGAATGACCATCTAATAAAGCAATACAATGCACCCTCAAATAATACGAAATAGAAACAAAAAATCTGCAATTTGGCAAAATTACTGCATGGCCGCTTGTGTTTGAGGATTGAAGAGTCTTGTTAAATTTAAAAACAGGATCTTTTTGTACACTTTCCCCTAACTAATGAGGAGTGTAATAAAATATTAAATATATCATTTTGTGATATTTTGTTTTCTGATATTGTATCAATTCTCAAAAAGACTATCGATTTTTGTTTTGTGAAAGTAAACTTTTCAACTCAGATGATTATGCGTATGGTGGAGTGTGTTATAAACTGTGACAGTTTTCCTAAAACTAGATTAAAATCACAATGTATTACCTTGTTTACAGCATTGCAATACATTGAATTGTGTATCGTCATGTATATAGTCAATACAACATCGTCAATAGACAGGTCTATAACTCATAAGGTTTCTTGTGGTATCACATAAATTACAGACAGCTGGACAAAACACACAAACAGGATGACATCTTCTCAAACTGACTAATTGTCAAACTTTACAAGATATTAAAAGACCAAACAAACTCCTAAAAGCATGTTTTTGTATCTCTCAGACATTAGAAGTGAATGGAAAGTGAAAATGTGATCCTAAATCAGCCTCAGGGGGCCTGAGTACTCCTGATACTGTATGTTTGTTCTTAATTTGATTCAATGTCAGCTCGAATGAGCTGTTCTGTGGCTTGTTTTCTGCATTTCCCTAAACATTAGAGTAACAAAGGGCATTTCTTTTGTTTGAGCTCCCCTCCCCCTCTCTGCACACTGTCACACAGGCCAAAGCTCTCCACCCTTCAGACAAAGAGCTTCAAGAAAAACAGGAATAAGCCACACTGTTCTGTTTCTCCTCCAAGTATACATACATACATACATACATTTTGATTCCCCAAAGCAAGCTGCAGTAGCACCAATCTGTCCAGAGTATCCTAAGAACAATCATTGTTTCTTGTTTAGCAAGTATCATAAAGTACTTCCCAGACCTTCACCACCTCTCTGCAGATAAAAAATGCTACTGTATATAACAGAGAGAGAGAGGTGATATGAATCCATTGGACTTTTATGAACTTTTAGATAGTTAGCTAGGATGGAGGTTCCTTTTTCTTCCAGAGCACTGGGGTGGCGGTCTGTATACAAAGGCTATAAACCGGAATCAGCTGCCTCAACCTGCCTGAAGGCCAGCAAGACCACCCTCGAGGAATGTCTCTCAACAGGAAAGTAGCTCTCAGTGACAAGTCCTTAAAGGACCAAACAGGAGGAACAACACTCACAAATTAATTTCCCTGCCAAAACATTTCTTTTACTGCTAAATAAGATACACAGTCAGGAAGACTTTTTGTTTATTTTTTATGAGCACGAGTCATGTGCAATTCTATTTTGTACCCTCACACTAAATTCTATCATAAAATGTTCTTTTCAGTAAAGGAAATGCATCAATAGAGTAAAAGTGACTCAACTAGGGAAAACTGGGAACTAATGTTGGTAATACTGATAATAAATATCTATTTATCTATTTATTTAGCCTATTTTATTTATCTCGGATTTCATGGAAATGTTGTTTCAAAGAAAGAAAAGCAGTTTTTTTATTAGTTATATTCATGGAATTTAACTGAAAGATTTATATGGAACTGCTACCAGGACATGTTTGGTATTTCTAACTGATAAATGACTTAGAATGATTAATCAATTATGAAAACAGTCACCGAGTATCTCTCTGGCAATCAATTGATCAGTTAGTTCAGTGGATCCCATGATTAAAAGATACAAGAAATTACTGTTTTTATGCAAAATGATAGATATTTTTTGTCTTGACCTTTGTCTAATCTTTTTTGAATACTTTTACCCCTTTAGGCTTCTGAAAATCCTTCAAATGAAGAAGAAAACTAGCCTATAATGAGCAGACTCTGACTTGTTTTAGGGGGTCACAAGCCAAAAACTTTGAGAACCACCCTGTACATGGACTGTTGGGTTGGTCTCTCACTGTTCTGCAGTCAGAACCCTTTGTGACGCCTC